TGTGAAAGAAGTTATGTTTAATAAATATATTTTTGGGTTAAATATGTTTTTAGTTCCTAAACTATCAAGCAACTTTGTTTTTAGTCTTTCTTTCAAAGTAAGGTACATTTTAGTCATCTTTTTAAGGAAATCTTAATTTTTGGTCCTCCAAAACTAACACCGTTAAAAACCAGCTGATGTGGCTAACGTCTTGCCACGTGTGTTCACCGTTTTCCTTCCTAACTCTTGGCACGTGTGATGACACGGATCCACCATCTACATCATGACCCGCTTCACCTCCATCTACCTCCTCGACTTCTCCTCTTACCGTCCCCCAAATCACCTCACTATCCACTTCCAAAAGTTCATCCACCACTCCACCCTTATCGGCGACTTCCTCCCATCCTCCCTCGATTTCCAGTTCAAGATTCTCCTCCGCTCTGGTCTCGGCAAGGAAACCTACCGCCAGGGAAGAGGCCGAGCAGGTCATGTTCGGCGCCCTTGACAACCTCTTCACCAACACCCGCGTCAAACCCAAGGACATCGGAATCCTCGTCGTCAACCCCACGCCCTCCCTTTGCGCCATGATCGTCAACAAGTACAAGCAATGTCAAAAGCTTCAACATTGGCGGCGTGGACTGCAGCGCCGGCATCATCACCATCGATCTCGCCAAAGACATGCTTGAGGTTCATCGCAATACTTATGTCGTCGTCAGCACCGAGAACATCACTCAGAATTAGTACTTTGGGAACAACAAGGCCATGTTGATACCCAATTGCCTCTTCCGCGTCGGTGGGGCTGCCATTCTCCATCTTGGTCTCCATTTTCAGTTTCTCAGCTTATTCATTAGATCTCATCTTACACTCACCCGGCCACCCTTACTCGCGCCACCCTCCACGGCAGCTCCGGCAACCACCTCTGGTTCCATCGCTTTCTTTCTCGTTTTTCAGGTCCCCTCTCTTTCCACTATCTTTCTCTCTTGATCTATTAAAATTTCAACCTGGATCTTCTGATTCGGTACCCATTTTGTGATTCTTCCTATTCAATGGACACATCTCTATTCTTTTGGGACAATTTTCTCACCTCACCTCCGTTACTTGATTTCCCTCATTTGTTTCGCCAGATGCGGTTTATTTTCGGTGATAAACCATTTCCCCACAATTTTTGTTTTTTTACAGGGTTTGATGTTATTAATTTTGCAAATTGCTTGCAATTCTATGATCGTTCATAGATCATGATTTGCACGGAATTGTGTTGTGCTTTCTTCAATGGTTGATTTTCACTTTTCATCTCGGGACTAGGGTTTTGCTTCAGTATTATGTTTTTGTTAGATGGGGGTGGGGCGGGTCATGATGTAGAGGGTGGATCTGTGTCTTCGGTATCCAAAATGCTAACTTCCTTCATCGTCGCGCCTTACAAACCCTTTAACGTGGTTGACCCGAACTAACTCTTCAACCTGATCCCTTAGTGTGATGCATTCATCTATGGTGTGACCATTGTTGCGATGATACTTAAAATATTTGTTCATGTTAGCGTTCGGTGGGTTATGTGATTTCCTGGGTGGTGATATGAGATTCACTTGCAATGTTTCTTGTAACATACGATACTTGAGAGCGTTTAGAAGTGTGTAATGCAAGAATTGGGCAGGTATGGACTCCATTTGATGGGAGCTACCTTTTTTGTGTGTCTCGTTCAACATATTTCCTTTCACTTGACATGGTCACAACTTTTATCTTGTTTCGGTACTCTCTTACTTCTTCTACTCGCATTAACTTGGTGACTTGCTACCTTAACTCATCCATGCTTATAACCGATGTCATACGTTCGCAAAGGAACCAAGCCTTAGTGTCATGGTTATATAGTGGATAACCACTTCAAGATTTAGGTTCTTGATCTTTAAAGCTACTTTACTCAACCTTTCAATAAAGGATCACATGGATTTCCCTATTTCTTGCCTAACATTGAGGAGGGCGATGAAGGTAAGGTGATGATGTCGACATGTGGCTAAATGTGTTGTAAAAAATGAAGCCATAGTATCGAAACAATCGATGAAATAGAGAGAGAGACAGGTGAACCACTCATGTGCTCATATGAGTTGGTGATACCATCATATTGGTCCAAGGTAAGAGTCTTCCACTTCTTAGGAAGTGGGGTATCAATGATGTCATCTATGTAGGAGTGTTGACGACTCCCTCCTATTGCCAAGGAGTTGTGTCTTGGGAATATGGTTGTACTTGCTTTCATCTTCATTTTCACAGACAAGATCGATGCAATGTGCGATTTTCTACATCAAGTTTGTGTTATTAAGGGTTTTCTTAACCTCTCTCTTGCCAACCGTTCCTTCAGTTTTGAACCTTTTTTTCAGCCTAACATTCTCCTACCTTAGGGTGTCCATTCCTCGACACTTACTTTTTTAAACTCGGCAAACTCCAACTACATCTTCACCCAAGCTCATAAGATAGTAATTATGTCTGTCGAAGATGGTCATGCTTCCTTTCCTCCTACCATCCTATTTCTTGTAGACACCATAAAAGTTCTTTCCATAAAATACAAGTTGTCCTCGTGATGGACGTCAATTGTTCTTACAAAGTAGAATGTGTATCCTGTAAAGACTCCAAGGGCATCCCAACACTTCCAACCTTCAATCTCCAAGGTACTCGTCCTCCTTCTAAGTACTCATTCTCCTTTAGCTGAGTAGGGATTGTGTTTACAAAAAACAATCTAACGCCCAAGTCAACCTAATGTGTTAACCAAAAATAAATATAGTAATTAATGAACATAATTAACGTACCTCGTAATATATATTATTTATATGTTCATTAGTGATATTGTGTTGGTCAAGTAATGATGAGTTGAGTATATGTCAACTTAATAATCTAACATATATTTAACTACGAACAAGTCTTATAATAACATGACTAAGTACTTAATCATAGACAATTAAAACATGATCTCATTATTATTAAAAAATATAAAATAAAAATATAAATTGCATGTTGACATAAATAACCTTTTATATAATTTCTTTTTATACTTCATTCTCTAATTAAATATTAATAATTCAACAAAATATTATTGATAATTGATAATTGGTCAGTAATTAAATATTAATAATTCAATAAAATATTATTGATAATTGATCATTGGTCAACACAATGAAGAGAAAAATAAATAAATTTTATTCTCACTAAAATTTAACTCATCCGTCCATTTTCATTTTATATTACTGGTATGAGTTTTGGAGTTTGATATTTTTTAAATCATTTGTCGTGTTTCTTTCTTCTTTTTTAGATATTTTTTTCAAAGTTTTTTTAAGTATGAATATTTAATTTATTTATTTTTAATTTTTTTTATGTGTTTTTATATAGCTATTTAATTTAAGACTGGTAATATATTTTAATAAATATTTATAATTTAACTCAAATTTAAATCTATTATGTTCGGGATATTTAATTATAGACCTTGATTTTAAATTCGTTAATCAGTCATGCAATCCATTAAATTACTTGTATACTATTTGTAATAAATATATAAAATTATTCATTTTCATCTTTTTTATAACCCTTAAAATAGATAATATATATCTATTTCATGATATCACTCCTAGTTTTTCTACGTATTATATTTAACTATTGTCTTTAATTAATAAAATAGTTGTTTAGGATGACTTTTACAAAGTCACTTTTTGTCTTCTTAAGCATTTTTTACTTATCATTTCCATAACAACAATAATAACTGTTTGTATGATTACAAAGATAACTCACTAAAAAGGTATGAGTTATTAATGTTTCTTACTAAAGAAAAAGAACTTGTTATTTAAGTTAAATTTGTTTATAATAACTCGTAATAACTACTAAGCATAAGTTTCCATACACAAAATAACTTTTATATATAATTTTTTAAAATAAAATAATATATATATTGAAATAAAGATGATAAAAAGGGGTAGGCGAGCTAATTAGCTAGTCACAATTTTAGTAAATCTGCTAGTATTTTTAATCTATTGATAACCTGATTTTATAAAAGATGAATAAATAATTTTAAATATTAACTTATTTTTTGGAATATGCAAAGGTAGAGTATTATTTCAACTTAAATTATTAATACTTACAATTAAATGGTTGAAATTATGACTTTGATTAGTGTAGTAATTTTTTGTATACTTACGTCATTATCCTTAATTATTATTATTATCATCGTTATTGTTATCTTAAATATTATGATGTTAATATCATATTTATTGTATAATATTACAGTAATAATTACAATTATTATTATGTTAATATCATTATTTTTTATATCATCGTGATTATTATTATTATATTACCATTCTTATTACTATCAATATTACTATCATCACCACTATCAATATCAAAATCCGTTTATATATATTCAATTATCATTAAGATATTTACTAAACATCTAAAAATATTTAATCTTTCAATGTTTTTCTATTATATTACATTACATCAGATATTATATTATGATTATTAAACAAGTTGGATAATTTTATATCAAACTAATTTCAAAATATTTTACAAAAAAAAGTAATAAAAAGAATCTCATAAAATTTAATTCACCAAATTTGTTAAAATAGAATAATTATTGACAGGGTGAAAAAAACAATTACATGATATACATTAATAATTGTAATTAATGGCTAGACATCTTACATGTTTAAAAATAGAAGTGTCGTTATAGAAAAGTTTCTAAAATTTAGTATATAAAAAAAACAAAAGCAATGTTTTGCATGATATTTTTGTTTTTAAAAATTACAGTAAATAAAGTAAGACGATCGTGTAATGTTTATATTTTTTTTAAAATTAATTATTTATCAATTTAATTTAAAAACACGACAACACATTGAATACTTGTATTAAATAAAATGACAAGATGCAATAATAAAACAATTTTGTATTAAATAGAAAATTTAGAAACAGGTAACCAGTGGGCCGAAACAGAACGGGCCCTTCTGGTCCACAGATAAACAATAAGGGACCAACAGTCATTATTCATTGCGAAAATCTTACATCGTTCTTTCTTTCCACAAAATCCCTCGTTTCCTTCTTTATTCCCATTTCCCACCCTTTCATCATTCATCATCGCCTCCACCACGCACCCACCCAGATTCTCCTTCCTCTCCGCGTTCCTCTTCCGTCTCCAAATTTCGATTCTTTCGATCAGATCTGCAAACCCCATCTCGCCAAAACCCTCTGCCACCCATCCATGACGCTTGGCTCAGGAGGATCCAGTGTCGTGGGTCAGTCCCTCACTGCTCTTTCTCTACTTTATCTACGCCCTTTTTCTCTTTCATCTTATTTTTTTCCAAAATTTTCTTCTTGGACATCGGATTTTTCCCCCTACCTCGTCTTGACGTTGACCTAGAACGTTCCTTGTTCGCTTTTTTATATTCTCAATTCTTATTTATTTGTTTGTTTTCGGGGTTTTCTGTTTGTGTTTTGTCGGAGGAGTTTTGGATCGTTGGCTGCGCTTTCCTGCCTGGGAATTTTTGGTCGAATGTTTTTGCTTTCCTAGTTCTATAAAGGATGGATTTTGGTGTTTTTGTTTTTTGTGATCATGTTAAATATTTTTTCTTCTTCTTTTATTCCATGTCGTCAATCATGGGCATAAGGTTTTTTGCATTAGTATGCATGTTTTGGAAATGTGTATGTTTTGTTGGTAATGTTGTTCGCTGGCTCTTGTTAGAAGTTTTTCTTCTTTGGCGCAAGCTGGAAAAATAATTCAGAATGTGTGGTTGAACCTTTTAGGAAGGTTTTAAAAGCGACTGTGATTTGAGCTGTAATGTCGAGGTATTACTTCAGCAATTGCAGCTGCATGTGTCCATAATTTCAATGCTGTGTAATGCATGCCTTTTCAATTTAAGTAGTGGGATTGACAGTGATGATCTAAGTTGATCGTCTACGTTTTCTGTCAATAGCATGCATATAGTTGTGAAACTGAACTTGTATTTGTGCCTAAAGCATTCTTACACAGCATTTGGTATCTGATCTCTCCCATTGGAAAGTGCATGGATGGTGATGTTGGCTGGTAGTGGGATAAGGATTTTGTTTTTGTTGTTGATGTGTTTGTTGTATCATTATGGATGATGTCGGGTAATTAGTCAAATGCTGTTAGGAGTTCCACATTACGTCTTCCACCTAATGGAGTAGTATTTTTGATTGGGGTTCTCCCCTTTTGCTTAAGTCCTTACAATTGGTATTTTCATTGAGAGTTGGGCTAGGGAAATAACTGTTTCTGTGGTGGATCAAGGTGTCAAACCAAACACTGGTTGATGAGTGAATAACGCTCAGAGTAAAGGGTTACCACTGGGAGTGAAAGTACCTTTGTAGGTAAGGCCTTAAACGTAGACTCACATTGAGTAGGATGAATTACTTGGTGTGGTATTTGAGCCTTCGGCCTCTCCCAACTAATGAACTAGTCTTTTGGGTGTAAACCTTCCTGTTGTGCATAAGTCCTAACAAATGACTTGTGAAGATATACTGTTCTATTTTTTGTACCAGTCTAATATTTCAATGAAAAGTGCTGTTACGTGGTGGTCCCATGGCATATCTTTTGCCAACTACCATAGGCAATTTGTGAAGGTGGGCATGTAATGAATGCGCTCATTAGCCGCAATTGTGACACTATGGTCGCAATGGCTTTTTTATATGGCAGAATTTTGGCCTTCTGAAATTTTCTACCGTCATTTTCAACACTGTTAATGAATGAATTATGGTTCAAGTGTGGTAAAATTTTCTTGGTTTAAGGATTTTATCAATTTGTGTAGATATTGTTGTCAAAAGAATGGATCCTACAATGACTAGTTACATTGTGTTGCTCAAATAGAAAATGTTTATGTTTTGTTAAATATTTGTACATTTATTTGCAGTTCCAAGGAACTTCAGATTGCTGGAGGAGCTTGAACGAGGAGAAAAAGGTATTGGAGATGGCACAGTTAGCTATGGAATGGATGATGGTGATGACATTTACATGCGCTCTTGGACTGGCACCATTATTGGCCCCCATAATGTAAATATTTCTGTCACTTCTGTAGATTAATCTTCATGCAAGTGTATCTGATCATAGTATGTATGCCAGCATGGTTTCTGTCCAAAATTAAGAATTTGGTTTGATTCTTGTCAGTATCGACTTTTATGTATTTGTACATGAACATTGTGTATTATTCTATGCCTGTATGGACCTTGGGTATGTAAGTTTGCGATAAGTTTATATTTTCTATATAATATATATTTTCATTTTGTTTATAGTTAAAAGGCTGCTTGCGGGTCCTATAATTGTGTTCTTCTCATTTGCCTTTTCTCTGTCAGACTGTACATGAAGGAAGAATCTATCAACTGAAGCTGTTTTGTGATAAAGACTACCCAGAAAAGCCCCCAAGTGTTCGATTTCATTCACGGATCAACATGACTTGTGTTAATCATGAAAATGGAGTGGTATCATTTATAATCTTTCATATGTATTCACTGTATAAATATTTTGTGCAGTGCTTGCTGGGATAATTAAACTGTTTTGTTAACTGTCTTTCTAATTCAATTTTTCAATTTGTAATAACTTGAGATCGCTTCTATTGGAGATCTAATCAAGTTTGATATGGGTTTTTCGGGAATAAGGGAATAATCAAATATATTTCATTCTTCCTTTATTTGAAAGCATGGATCTCATATTTGTTGACCTGATAATCTTTCTCAAGATTAATAGACTGGTACATGAAACAGGTTGAACCAAAGAAGTTTGGTCTTCTTGCAAATTGGCAAAGAGAGTACACCATGGAGGACATACTGACCCAGCTGAAGAAGGAAATGGCAGCTCCTCATAACCGGAAGCTTGTCCAGCCCCCAGAAGGTACCTACTTTTAGCATTGAAGAGCATTGAAGACGGTATAGATGTCAGCTTGTATTGCATATTCTGTATGCAATATATAGTGTGTAATGAATGCTTTGTGGATCCTTCCTTCCGAATTCAAGAACATATAATAGGGGAATGCCCCAAAAGATATTTCCATATCCATGGCTTCAGAGTTGTTTTGTTGTCTTTCTCAACTGTTCTGAAGGGGGACTGTTTGATTAAAATATTATGTGTGTCATATTTCTAAAGCAACTCTTTAAGTAGTATTTTCCCTTTAATCACAAAGGTGCTTTCAAATTTACTCTTGCTTCTTCTTATAGCTTCACTTTCTCACTGCCTCTGTAAGTAAGGTTGAGCCAAATGGAAAATTGGCAATGGCAATGTGGATCTGCTTGCTGTCTGTTCTTTATATAATTTTCACCAAAATCAGTCTGATATGAAACAAAAGTAACCAAGTTTCTAGGCACTGTTAATATTTGGAACACTTGATATAAAATATACTGTTATTTAATTATAACTTCACATATGGATAAATACTTTTGTCTTTTTATATCTCAGTAATTTTTAGTTGGCTGAGAGAGTAAATTTATACATGTATATTAAAATTGAACTTATTTTCAAATAAAACAAAAATTGTAGAACTTGGATATTATTGTTGTTGAGAAATCAAAGCCTGTCTGGGATGTGATGGTGTTTGAGATTTACATTGGCTAATATAACCTGGCACAGTGGTTTTAATTTGTTAAGTTGAATTTCTCTAATATGAATATTAGAAAAAAAGGATGTAATAAGTTTAATTTGCTCGTAATGGTTTACGTAGTATTATCTGCTTGGAAAGATATTTATTAAAATATCTTATTTTATTCACACTTATTTAATTTTAATGAATTACTTAGTTACGTGGCATATTTTAGCAGCTCATAGATTTGTTTTAGTTTGAAAAAAGTTGTCAGATTTTTAATTCAAGGTTTTTTATTATAAACAAATAAATGCACAGAATAAAATTAAGATATTGCTAAGCCAAGCTTGTTTTTCTTTTGTTAACTTTAAAATGTGTATAATTTGAAAAAGTTAAATTATAATTTTAAGATACGTTTCTAATTATTTTTCTTTGTGAAATGAAGCATAGCGATCTTTTTTTATTTTGTTTTACTTCTATTTGTGATGTTTAATACATGATGGGATGGGAGCGTGTATTTTTTTTTTATTTAAAAGCAATATAAAATAAAATTAGTGTGGAAGGATATAGACTAAAAGAAAATAAACATAAAAATAAATGTTTTCCTAAGGTGATCGAATTTTTTTTAAGACGAAACAAATCCTAAGACCAAATATTATGATAAAATAAAGTATTAATAATTCCAACGGAGCCTATTACAAAATACGATAATAGTCTATCTACGTTTAAAGTATAATAAATTCCTAAAATAGATAAATAATTATTCACAATTTAAAAAATTAAATATATTTATAGTTGAAATTAAATTCTTTTCTGTCTTAAATGTTAAAATAGATTGGTCATGTTTTAAAATTAGATAAATATAATTATCTTAAATTAATTGATTTAAATGTTTGCCTATATTTATTTATGTTTAAAGTTTTGAGATTAATATATGTTAAAGTTTGAAAAATTGAAAAATTTTAATTTTATATTATTTAAGGATTAAAAATATATTTAATTCAATAAATATTTAAAATTGAATTGTGTAACATCCCAAAAATACAGTAAAAACCATATAATAGAATTAATTACATTAATAATTAACCAGTTCATTTTTATACTAAACAAACTAACAAATTTTGGCCGAATGGCCTTACATAGGGTTACCAAAAGTAAACTGTACAAGATTTAGTGAAACATGACCGAACGGCTTACAAAAGTCAAATTACCGACCGGTCAAATAACAAAAAAAGGAAAGGAAGTGACCGAATGGTCACTTCATGCTAAACTACTAACTATAGACCGAACGTCCTACGGTTCGGCTTTTACTTCAACGTCTACGAGGTTCGCATCTTCCAAATTTTCTTCTTCCAGCGCCTCTTCAAGTAGCGCGCTTCCATCTGCTCACATCCACACGGATGATCATTGCAATGACAAGACGGACGTACAACAAGACAACATAAGGAAACACAGGGTAAGCTTATGTAATTTAATTCAAGAAATAACATACGTTTTCATATGCAAGCACATTCAAATACATTCAAATAAACGAATCAATCAAACCCTGATACTAGACCGACTGTCCGGACTGTATGAATCTGTGTAGCTACAGGCGTTCGTGCACCCGGGTGATGTAGTAACTGGAATACTTTCATCAGCTGCCACCCGAGGTTAGTCTGTTCCGTCCAAAGTACCCCTAAGGACTAGGACCTCCTGCCGTTCCCACACATGACCTACCCTCCTCTACGTGAGGACGAGTACTCACGGAACATCAGGATGAACTGCCAGCATTAGCATGCCCACAGTCATACTTTACCAATTCCAATATTCATCCATGAGTCGTTCCTCCCTGGAACGCTCGTTCAAATCCACATCATTTCATTCATATCACATTCCCTTCCCATTTCATTCGTAATCATTCTCAATTTCATCTTTCATTACCAATAAGTTAAATTTCATCATCAGTTCTAAGAACATAAAATACCGAACGTTCAGACCTCTTTAGAACGAGGACGAACGCTAAGAACGAGATCGATGATTCTCCCGTTCAGAACAGAATAAGACTAAGAGAGTTACTTTTAGATTTAAGAAATGAACCGAGTAAAATAGTGCAATATGTGACGAAAGGTATTTACCACTTGAATCAGTTGAGTGAGCTGACTCTCTTGAATTTAAACCAATACTTAAAGAAGAAATCAAGTATGGAGGCCCTAGGCCGGATCCAATGCAAGAAGAATAATTAAGATGTTAAGGAACTATATTTAGAATAGTTCACATACGGAAATCCAATGCCAGTAAATGACCGAACATGGTAAAGGAAAATATTACTGAAGTTGGACGAACGTTATTTTATCAAGATTGATTATACAATAGTACGAGCGCTTGGTATAAGACCGAGTACTACTCATTACAAGTGCTAGGTATAAGACCGAACACTACTTAGTAGGGACGCTAGGTGTAAGATCGAGCACTACTAGTCTTAAAGTATATATATGTATTACTTTATTTCAGGATATCCGGGTACTACTATGCTTGGCCGAATGCTCAAACATAGTGTTTCCACATGAGGGCGCTCGTCCTACACTAGGATTCTATCCAAATGAAAGAATCCCTTTTTAACTATGTTCACAGAAAACCGAACGGTCAATGACCGTTCAGTAACGAACGTACTCTATCATAGTAGAATTTCATATTCAGATTTCATTTATTTCCAACTCAAATCTCAACACATCATTTTCATAACCTTATAACTTCACACCAGATATCAATTTACATACTTCATATAATCCATATAAATAATTCATACTCCAAAACGATTACTCATATTCATATTCCTACACTTCATACATCTCAACCATCATACATCTCAACCATCATACATCTCAACCATCATACATCATACTCATACTGGATACATACATTCACTCATTCAGCAACAATGCATTCATTTTCAGCTAGCATACAACCATATACAATTAAATTAGATAAGCTTCCCTTACCTGGATCTGTGAAAGAACGTCCTACAGACTGCAACTTGGTTCGTCAACTACAACTTCTACCCTCACGGTCACTTAACTCTTCCAACTAAACCGAACCACATGAAAATCAAAAATAACTTAGACTACACCCCTGCATGCAACCAGAACGTGGTTTTGCATGTAACAAAAGAACGAACGACTAAGGGGAGAAACTTACCAGCTCAAAGTTGAAACTTGTTTGGTTTAAGAGGAAGCTTGGGACGCCGGAAATGCTCCTACGGTGCCTGAACGGTGATCGGAGCAGAGAAAAGGTGAGTTACAGTAGAGAGAGAAGGGAAGTTTCTAGAGAGAAGAAGGAGAAATGGAAAGTCAGAGTTTGGAAGGAGAAGGTGCATGCAGAGGAGAGTGGCAGGGTTTTTCAGAAAAATCATTTTTTGGCTACCCCACGTCCAACGGACGTACACTCTCCTATAGACATCTGTCCTTCACTACTGATTTTCGAATCTTCCATTCTTGACACTTGGCGTCAGTTTACAGAGTTTTGGGTGCGTTTTAAACGAATCTGAGCAGGGGTTTTGGGTTAAATTTCCGAGGTCTGACAAATTGTATTTTAAAATATATAAAATAAGAATCTAAAATTAAAAAATTTTCAATAAAAATGATACTAATTTACATTAGTTCCAATATTAGTTACAAAATTTCACATGTTTTTAAGACTCAAATTTATATAAGCTAAATGACGTAATAAGAAAGTAATTAAGTTAAAAAAAAGAGAAAAAATGAAATATTTTAAGTAATCAATGTGAAGACCTGAAAAATGGAGTAAAGGTGCCTTAAGTTAATAGAACAAGACTTAAAAAAAAACATTTCAAACATACTGGCCCATTAGCTTATGCATTATGTCTCTCTCTAAAACTTAGTTTCAGATTTCCTCTGCCTTCTCTCTTCCATTCCTTTTCACTGAACCAGTAGATTTCCGATTAGGTGGTGCCAAAACGTCCGCAGCGTAGTGAGCTTCGCAACGGATCGATTTGTTTTTAGTTCTAGGCTGGTAAGTCCCTGCATGCAGCTTCTTCACTATTCTTGAACGGAGACGTGCATTCTTGTTGGTTGCATGTGCCTTCTTGCTTTTCCTTCTTCCATTTCTACTCAATCCTAACTCTAATAGCGATTTCCATCACTTTTCCGGTGGTTGTAGGGTTTGTTGGGTTCGTGCTGTATGAGGTATCGTTAGGGAATTCTAGTGAGCTGTGCGGTTTAGTCAAGTCACTCTGAAGTAAGGGGAGCTAGAATACGTTTTTTTAATTGGTTGCATGTGGTGTATGTATATAGATTTTTGTACTATTATGCTGTTGATGTTGTGCTTTGATTGAGAAGATTTATTTGCATGTGCTGGATTGTATGGCTGTGGAACTGAAGTGCAATGTGTGTATACTATTTTGGATGTATCTCATTTCTGTAATTTCTATGTTGATGTGTTTGGACTGAGAGATGTTGTAACAGTGAATGGATGGAAAAATTGGTATTCTGTAAGGGTTTTAGGTCATTGTGAGAGGAAGTGAGGTAGTGATTTTGGGCATTGGAGAGCTTGAGTGCACTTGTTAGGAACCTCAAAATGGTCTAAAACGAGTTACAAGTATTAGAATTGGATTTGGGTCCCTAAGTTGTTGATTTTGGTGTTCTAGAGTAGAAATTGAGTCTAAACCACTTTAGAGTTGTAATAGGAACGTATATAATCATCTAGACAAGTTTAATTAGGTGTAATACAAGAATTAGGGATGTTAGAAATCGGATAAGAGGCCTACAAATGGTGAGGGCTGGTGTGAGTGTATGATTCTGCAGAATTTGCGTTCTGCAGATGATGCAGAGTCGCTATGCGAGTTGTCTCGCATAGCGAGACCCTATAGAGGGTGTTCACTGTCTAAGTCACTCGCTGTGCGAGCTGGTGCACTGTGCGAATGACCAGAGGGTGCTGCTCTCTGTTTGTGGATTCGCTTGGCGAATCCTGTTGCTATGCAACTGGGGGTGGTCTGGAACCACTGCCCTTTTAATTCGAAGAGCGAGATGGGCGCAAAGCGAGAGGGTTTGGGGGTGTGGTCTCTGTCTAAGCTCTCGCATAGCGACATGGGTGCGTTATGCGAGAGGTTGGAAGTCTGGTGCATGCTGCGAGTTAATTCACTATGCGAATTAAGGGGTGCGCTGTGCGAGACCTTCTTGTCTCGCCTTACGAATAGGGTGCACTGTGCGAATCCTCTGAGTCCAGAGTTCTCTTTTGCTCTCTTTTTGGTTGAATTAAGTGTGTGGGATGTTTGGAATGCATAGTATGATGGTGGTAATGTGATTATATTGAAAGTATGCGAGTGTATGAAACATGTTTGGTGATTGAAAGTATGTGGTTTTAAAAGTATGGTTGATGAACGTAATTCCATGGATCTCAAGGGAGGTTACATGGTGGTGCCTTATGTTATTGGACGTAATTCCATGGATCTCAAAGGGAGGTTACATGGTGGTGCCCTATATTATTGGACGTAATTCCATGTTCTTCAAGGAGAAGATTCATAGTGGTGCCCTTAGTGTTTATAATGATTTGCATGGTAGCTCAGTCTTGGAGGTTATCCTGAAACTACAATGGTCAATCATTCTCAAGTAGAGATGATTGAATCATATCGTGAGTAGTAGCACGAGGTCCTAGTCTTGGGTGCTTCCAGTATGACCCAAGGTGAGTGATAACGGACTAACCTCGTGAGTGTGGTGGGGTGAAACCCATTGGCAATGACTTTGCAAAGCAGTAGAGGCCACCACGAGTGCATGACCCGCCATAGCTCGACAATCATTCTAAGTCCGGACGAGTCAAGTTTAAGTGCAACCAGTCACGTTTGTGTATTGTAGTGTATTTGTCTTTACTTGTANAGGTTATCCTGAAACTACAATGGTCAATCATTCTCAAGTAGAGATGATTGAATCATGTCGTGAGTAGTAGCACGAGGTCCTAGTCTTGGGTGCTTCCAGTATGACCCAAGGTGAGTGATAACGGACTAACCTCGTGAGTGTGGTGGGGTGAAACCCATTGGCAATGACTTTGCAAAGCAGTAGAGGCCACCACGAGTGCATGACCCGCCATAGCTCGACAATCATTCTAAGTCCGGACGAGTCAAGTTTAAGTGCAACCAGTCACGTTTGTGTATTGTAGTGTATTTGTCTTTACTTGAATGTTGCCTCTGACTGCTATAACATAATTTTTGTATATCTAGCTCACCCTTGCTTTTGTGTTTGTGTTTTGCTTGGATGTGCTTTTCTTTTGCAATTATCATCCACTTGGATGTGAGCAGAGGCGAATGAGGTGCCTCTAGAGCAGACTTTGGAGGAAGATGATGCTGCTTAGTCTAATTAGGACTCTGAATGGTTCCTTATCTTTTAAAATACTCTATTACATTTAAGTTTTAAATTATGACTCAATTTGGGATGACTATAAGCTTAACAACTTTATTTATAGTCTACTCTAAGTGTTCTATTATATTAAAATGTGGACTTACTATATTATATGCTTCTATTTAATTTGGAATGTTACATTTATGGTATTAGAGCAGTTTCTGTCCTTAGAAAATCTTGTAGGGTATGTGTGTGCCTTGCTTATGCTTGTGTACTCTTAGTCATGTTTAAGTTGGTTGTCGTTGTTTATTTGAGTTGGACTAATGGTCTTTCTCTCTGTGTGAACAGAAGATGACACCTAGGCTTCCTCCTCATCCTCCCCCTCAGGCCGAGCCGTATGAATCTAACCAAATGTTAGAGACTGTGCTTAGACGTTGCAACAACAAAATGTTACACTGGTTCAACAAAACACCATAGCCTTGTAGAATCTGGAAGCTGCAAGAGTGTCAGCGGAAAACGCCAGAGCGTCGGCTGATACCACTCAGAGGCAATTCCTGAAAATGATGGTTGGTGGTAGGACCGTTGCAGGCGCGTCTTCATCTGTGGGTTCGGTCCCAGAATGGAGCTTGGAAAACTTTCTTCAACACCATCCAGTCAGGTTTGATGGGAAGTGTAGCCCGAATGAAGCTGATCATTGGTTTCAGGACATGGAGAGAATTTACCATGCCAAGAGGTGTCCAGATGAGAACAAACTGGCATATACTGAGTACCTGTTGACTGGGGAAGCAGGCCACTGGTGGAGCAGCATGAAAATGATTATGGAAGGGAGTGAAACTCCTATTACTTGGGAGTTGTTCAAGGAGAAGTTCTACACTGAGTATTTCCTTGACAGTGTGAGGTATGATAAGGAGATTAAATTTCTCCAGCTGGTACAACGAAATATGCCTGTGGCAGAGTATGCAGACAAGTTCAAGCACTTACTCCGATTCTACACCATGACTATGGATGAAGAGTGGCAGTGCAGGAAGTTTGAAAATGATCTAAGAGGAGACATCAAACTGTTGGTGAAAGGACTGCGTATCAAGGAGTTACCTACCTTGGTGGAGATGACCCATGTGATGAAGAAGACCAAAAAGAAAGCTGAAGGACAACAGAGTCAGTCTATTAGAAATAGGGAACCATCTGGGTCCCGTAGTGGATTTAATTCCAAAAGGGCTCATTACCCTAAACCACCGTCCTCTTTTGAGTCTAAGGCTCCTTACTATATATACTAGTATACTCGAATTAGATTATTACACCGACATAAAAAATATAAAAATATTACTTTATTTTTGAAAATGTAACACATCTTGATTAAATATAATTACATTATAACTTTGATCGTTCAAAGAAAGAATTATTTTAAGACTCAGTGATAGTAACATTGCAAGTAAAAAATGCACTTAATTATACAAATTGATATTATTTACGATGAAAGTTATATAATATTTATAATTTATTTAAATTATTAACTTCTGCAATATTTATTTGTATTTTAACAACCTAGATTTTTATTCTTTAAAAAAATTAACTATTTTCCATAAATAATTCTACTATAAATAATAAAAAATATTGCTAGGCAATTTTTTACTTAATTATTTTACAGATATACTAATTATTTATATCTATAAGTGTTCTTTATTGAAAAAAAAAAGTTAGTTCGAAGAGCTTTTGATTAGCTGTAGTTGAGGGAGAAGAGTTAACTTATAAAAGGCGCCTTTACTATTAAGGTAAGGGGTGCATATAGAAATTTTATTTTCTATACATTTTTGTCCCTTTTTATTTAAGCCCAATGTGTTTCTTCTTGTTTTTCTTACCACTTCCCACCCTAAAACCCTTCCTTCTAAACCCTGTTTCTTCGTCTCTGCAAAGAAACGTTTCGACATGGCACCGCATTCTAAGAGAACGAAGAACACGAAGGTGTCAGGAGACAAACCGAAAATAGATAACGCCTCAAAGAAAAAATTCAAACGGAAGGAGAGGAAGCAAAACGACGCCGTCGCCGCCACTAAGTCGGAAACACTACCTTTGCAGCTAGAAGACGAGGTTCCCGATTTCCCTCGAGGTTGCACCCAGTCACTCTCCGTATTCCAAATTTTTCTACTGAGTTTTATATTTTCTTGTTTGAATTTGGTTTGGATTGAATGTGTTTCATGTAGGTGGAGAAGTTTTTTTTAATCCAAGGAGTGATTATGATAAATTTGGTGGCGAGAATCACACGAAAAAGACGAAGAAGAATAAGGGAAGAAAGGCTTTGAGTAAGAGTAATGAGGCTGTAGATGATTGGGGCTCGCTTTCTGGTGGGGGTATCACCGGAAAGTTGCCAAAGCGCGTGCATAAAGTTACTCTCAAGGTACCATGCGGTGTTTGGTAGGATGGAAGAGGCGAATTGTTTATCCAACGAATATAACTTTTAGAAACGAGTTTGTTTTACAAGTTGTGCTGTGCTTCTTGTTTTTGCATATTGTTTATATTTGTAATTGCATGTAAAGAATAGCTACGGTGGCCTGCCATGTATGGGCTTAATACGTACAATTACATTAAATGCGTAGAACTTTTAGCTTTTTTAGTTGGTAGTTGAAAGTTTAATTTGAATTTTTTTGTTCATTCAATTAACTGTTATTTTTTTTTCAAGATTTTCCAATCGGGATGACCAAACTAGTGGTATAACATGCATTTAGTCTCTGATTATTACATTTTATTATTTGCTTATCGAGATCATACCGGTTGGATTCCTTTTTATTTTTTGTGCGTGCTGTGCTTTAAAATTTTGTTCTCGCATGTATGGCAGAATATAACTCCTGGAATGAAGCTTTGGGGAGTTGTTGCTGAAGTAAATGAGAAGGATCTTGTAGTTAGCTTACCAGGCGGTTTACGTGGTTTGGTACACGCATCAGATGCAGTGGATCCTATTTTTGATGACAAGATTGAGGTGTGCAATAAGCTTTTTGTCAAATTCTGATTGTTCTTGCTCTTCTTCTCACACATAATTTCACTCCTCATCGTAAGTTTTCTAATTATATTTTAATTTTGTTGTTCTTTCTTGCTTGCATCAGGTTGGGGAAATTTTCCTTTCTGGTGTTTTTTATGTTGGGCAACTGGTTTCTTGTGTTGTACTGAGATTGGATGATGAAAACAAAGAAAAAGGAAGAAGGAAAATTTGGCTTTCATTGCGTCTTTCATTGGTGCACAAGAACTACAACTTGGATGTTGTTCAGGAAGGCATGGTATGTCACTATTTTATCATGAAATTATGTGTAGCTTTTTTATACGATTCATCTAGACTAGAATTTAGTTTCCTCCTTTGATTTTTAAGATATTGTCAATTATGACATACATGGGTCCTATTTACCAAATCTTCATTTGGAATGGTAATTTCAACAACATTTTATGCAGTCCTATGCCGACCTTAACCTGAGATTATTGTGATATATTGGAGTCAGTATGTTTTCTAGTATACTATAATTAAATTAGGCTTGTTTATTTCTTTATCTGCTACTCTGGATGGTAGCACATGGACTTTTATGTGGTTTAATTCACCTTGCATTTGTCTACTTATTGTAGATGATTTATATTTTGTAGATTGGATATTTGTAGCTTATTGTGTTACATTCCTTACGGTATTACTTGTTGCTTCTGACAGAGCAACTTTCCATAAAAAATATATAGGAATTGAACTCTATGGAATTTCTTATAAATTAGATTGCTAACTTGATCAATATTTCTATTTGAAAACAGTTATTTTAAATAATTTATACCGAGGATTTGCTACATTTAATAAATAATAAATTAGAAGTATACTATGTTAGACCTTTTTCTGTTGATTTAAATCTGATTCTTGCATTATAACAAGGTAAAAGAAAATTAGTTCTTATTTTTTTTACCTTTTATTACTTTATTTTGGTCCACCGTGATGTGATGATTGCAATGCCTTTCATATTATATAGCCTGTTGTGGTTTGAGAGTAATAGGGATTAGGAATATGATAGATGGAACTTTTGATTTTTTTTGCACACTACGTAAATCAGGTCCTTGCTGCATATGTGAAAAGCATTGAAGATCATGGTTACATTCTTCATTTTGGTGTGTCTTCTTTCATGGGATTCCTACCAAAAGACAGCTCTACTGGTAAAATAAAATCAACTGCTGTGGGTTTTATTTATATTCTTGTTTGGCATGATTGAACCGAGTTCAATTTGTGCTTTTCTTTCCTCATGCAGAAGGCTGGGGCGGTGAAGTAAAAATTGGAAAACTTCTGCAGGGTTTGGTTAGGAGCATTGATAAAGTTCGTAAAGTTGTTTACCTGAGTTCTGATCCTGATACAATGTCCAAAAGTGTGGTATGCTTTCTGTGTTCATTCTTTTGTCATTTTGGTACCTATTTTTAATGGTTCTCACTTTCCTATCTGAATGGTTACTTTCTTTATGCATTTTATTCAGACAAAAGATCTCAGAGGTTTATCAATTGATCTTCTAGTTCCAGGAATGATGATAAATGCCCGTGTGAAGTCAATCCTTGAGAATGGTGTTATGTTATCGTTTCTCACATACTTCACTGGAACTGTAAGTGTATCCTTTAATTGATAATTGATGTATTTGCAATCCTTCAATCACACTGTTAATTGATCCTCTTGACACCCCCATTACCCTCACAATATTAATATTAAGAATCTTTTCATGCAGGTTGATCTGTTTCATTTGCAAAATATTTATCCTGGAACAAACTGGAAGGAGAAATACATTCAATCTCAGAAGGTACTTTTTAATTTTAAATTTTACATGCAACATATACGAGTTGCCCTCCAATTTTTATTTTTTTATTTTTTATCTTGTAGCATTCATGTAGTTTCCTATCACAGTGGAATGCTTTTGTTGCAAGCTCCTTTTCTATATTTACTGAGTTATTTAGTGCAAGGTTTTTCATGCATGTATGCCCATGTGTTATTTGATCTAATTTTCAAATGGAAAAAGCATTTTGATGCCTTGTTTGGCTTTATGCTAATAGGTAGCATTGGCCTATTATAGTACAAGCAATCCATTAGAAACTGCTTACAGATGAAAACTCTTTAGCCTTGCCTTCTACTCTTCTTCAACTGTTCTTAACTGTATACGGCTTTAATTTCAAGTGTATTTTTTGTAACTTTAAATTGTACAAGTGGATATATGTGCATTTCACAAGTTGTGTTAAGGCTTTTATTTTTTCTATCAAAAGAATTTCATGTTTTGTTTCTACTCAACTCCCTTGTTCTTTGATATAATTGGATTTCGGATTACACTTATAACTTCATAATGCATTGTCGTGTTCATTTGTTTTCTCTTGGCTTCATACTCATTTGCCTTGATGGATGTTTGCATTGGGTTTGATATATGGTTGATGTGTTTTACAGTTGTCTTTTGTTCTGCCAATCATATTACTACTTTTCAAAGTTACTTTTCTATTTCTAAGTGCATTGTATGTAATTTAGGTTGTTTCTCGAATATTATTCATTGATCCATCAAGTAGATCTGTTGGTTTGACGCTGAATCCACATCTTGTTCAGAACAGAGCCCCTCCTTCTGTAAGTTTTTTAGCTTATATATTGTTGATGGGATACTTCATTCCATGGAATGAATTCTTTAACTGTTTTTTCTTTTCTTTCCAACTACTTTTTGCTCTTCAATGTTGTTAAATGATATATTTCTTCTTTTGTTGCTTCCACAATTAATATACTGATTGGAACATGTTTGGATTAACTTGAATACACGTCTGGAAAAAAAATTGAGAACGTTCTAAAGTTTTAATATTATTTATAGGAATCTTAGGCAATAAATGGAAATGCATTTGAAAGAATCCTAAAATCATCTCTATAATAAGAGGGAAGATGACTTCAACAGGTCTCTACTATAATAATGTTTTTTCCTATTAATAAATGAATTGGTTGCATCATTGTATATGCATGTGTTGCATTGCCGTGAATTCTCTCTACACTTTCTGTTATGTCTGGCGAAGCCAGAAGGAATGCTGGGAAATTTACATGGAAAAACTATCCATTTTAAAAATGGTTGAATCTTACTGATGTAGTGATTTTAATAATCTTATAAATTGGGGAATTCCACTAGATTATAAGTGATTTTCATTTGTTATTCTTATAGTACCTACATTGTAATAGAAGTAGGATTGTTGCTGATATAAATTACTTTGCCAGTGTTGTTTGTGGGGTTGAAGTCGATGTGAAGCTTTATTTCTTTGTTTTTTGTGTAAGGTGCTTCACTATTTTAGATTTATGTTATTAGAAAAAAAATTATTTCTGCATAGTAATATCTCTCCTTTTTCTCTCTTTCCTAGTGTTTGATGTTGGTAATCATTGTTCCATTTTGTAGACTAATGAACTACATTATTGTGCAGCATGTTAAAATTGGAGATATATATGACAACTCAAAGGTTGTAAGGGTAGATAAAGGATCTGGACTATTGCTTGAAGTTCCATCAATTCCGGAGCCAACTCCTGTTTTTGTCAATGTAAGTACTGTCTGCATAAGTTTTAATGATGTAGAATTTTACAGAATGAAATATGAATGTTAGACTTCATTACAATAACAATAAGCCTTACCTGACCAAGGAAAAATGTAAAAAGATTTTTGAAATTATTGTTGACAGATATCAGATATTGCGGAAGGGGAGATCCAAAAACTCGAGAAGAAGTTCAAGGAAGGAAATCATGTTCGAGTTCGAATTCTTGGGTTAAGATATTTGGAAGGAATGGCAACAGGAGTTTTGAAGGTTGTCATCGTACAACATTTAATTTCCAAAAGATGTTTAGCATTTGTAATTGAATGGTACCTTTTATGTTGGAATTCCACTTTAATCATCTTAATGTTTTTGTATCATGCAGGCTAGTGCTTTGGAAGAGGAAGTGTTTACTCATTCTGATGTCAAGCCAGGCATGGTGGTGAAGGCTAAGATACTTTCAGTTGATAGCTTTGGTGCTATAGTGCAAATTCCAGGTGGTGTGAAGGCTCTTTGTCCGCTTCGACATATGTCTGAATTGGAAATTTCAAAGCCTGGAAAAAAATTTAAGGTTGTATTCTTGCTGTGCATGCTTTTACTTAATTTTTAGTAGTCATCTTTTGTTTCTGTTGACAATATAATGTAGATTTGTTTTGTTGCATCTGTGTGGTGGGACAGATTTGACACTATGTGGCTGAAGTTTTTGCTTGAATTATGTTACAGGTGGGAGCTGAATTGGTTTTCCGAGTGCTCGGTTGCAAGTCGAAGAGAGTGACGGTTACACACAAGAAAACCCTTGTATGTTTCTACATGTGAACTCTTCTCCTGTTTATTCAATCTAAATGGCAGAATAATAATTTTTTTATAGTGATAATGCATGTCCATAAACTTTAGCTTCTGTTTTTCCTATTATAACAGTCTTTAGATCATAAAGTTTGTGGAGCAGTATTTGTTTGCTGATAACAGCCTTTATGTCTTCAAACACACTCTACCCCACCCACTACTTCAAACCCAAAGGGGGTGGGGTAGGGGGTTTGAAGAAGTGACACAAAAAGCTTCCTTTTTCTGTTCACATCTATCAATATGCTTGTTTGTTGATGCACTCTTCTCAATGGAGAAGAGATTTTTGAGCATTTATTAGTATCTCCCCACTCCAACCAAAATGACCGGTTCTCCATTCAGTTTTGAATAAAATATATGATATTTTTACAGGTGAAATCGAAACATGGGATTATTAGCTCATATACTGATGCAACTGATGGTTTGATAACCCATGGATGGATAACAAAAATTGAAGTTCATGGATGCTTTGTACGGTTTTACAATGGGGTGCATGGATATGCTCCTAGGCAAGTCTCAAATTTGTCTGTATACTTGTATCATAATCACAGTCAGTTATACTTTGATTGTTGCTTAAATCGCGTGACCTTTGTTTTTGAAATTCCATGTTCATTATTTCACCTTCTAGTCTTTGACTAATTTCTTCATTCTTAAAAGTAGTAGTAATAATAATAATACCTATCTGGATGTAGTTTCCTAAACTTATATTAACTTTGTGAGACTCACTCATCTTGAGCAGTATATCCAATGCCATCTAGCCTCCATTCTTTTCACTTCATTGAACTTTGAATTTTGAATAATAAACTCCCTACCTGTTCTTTAATTTTATTGATTGTTTGATGTCTCCTATTTGAAACAGTATTGGCGAATTCTCAATTTTGTTTGTTTAGTTGACTTTTACTTCTATTTACATGTATAATTTTCTTAAAACGTAAGAAGTTTTAATGTTAATTATAAATAATGGTCGTAAGTTTAGAACTTGTGCACACAGTACCCAATAATATTGCCAAGAAGGGTATTCCTTTGACTCTGTTGGAGGTTCCCAAAATATGTACTTGCCAATTCATTGTTTTTTTGTTTCTGTTAGTTGCCTTTAACGACTTTGATCTTATCAACTGATCATGCCTTTCATATTCTCTTGTGAATGGAAGGGTTATCTGCGACTTTAGTCCTGTCTTATTTGTCCCATTTTTAAATTTGAACTAGTTTATAATTTCAGGCCTGTAGTTTTGGTTGTGTATTGCTTTCCTAGGATTATGTTTTGGCTTCTTGGAAACTAATGACTATATTTTTTAATAAATTCCCATCGTCATGTGGTATTGGTGTTTTTCTCTCAAAAAGAGCTAATTATGTAATATATTCATTGTTTTGATTTGATGTAAGAGCAGATTTGAACTTGGATTAGAGCCAGGTGCTGATCCAGGTACTGTGTACAATGTTGGACAAGTTGTCAAATGCCGGGTAGTAAGTTCAATTCCTGCTTCACAGAGGATCAACCTTAGTTTCATAATAAAACCCACAAGGTTTGCATTTTTCCACTTTATGCTTGTTGAGTTCCTGCTTCTGGAAATGTCTACTAAATTTTTGAATGTGTAATTGATCATCAGACTGCTTTTTTTAGGGGATCATATACTTCCAAATATAAAAGAATAGTAGTTTGACTTCTTTTATGTTTTATGAGAAGCATCTGCTGACTTACTTTAGTGAAGTTTTTAAAAGGTATAGGCAGGCACATTCTGGGACGACATATGCTAATCCAATGTGAATAATGACAGGGTGTCGGAAGATGATGTAGTTACCTTGGGCAGCCTTGTTTCAGGAGTTGTTGACAGAATTACATCCACTAATATAATTGTTTATGTCAATGCAAGTGGTTTCTCAAGGGGTACAATATCCACAGAGCACTTGGCAGATCATCATGGTAAAAATTCCCTTGTTAGGTAAAGGCTTTTGCATTTTCTGCTTACTCTTAATATAATTGCTAATTGTAGCTTTTTTTCTTCAGGGCAAGCTATTCTGATGAACAAACTATTGAAACCCGGATATAATTTTGATCAACTGCTGGTTCTAGGTACACTTAAGATATTGAGGGCATTCTATGTAGTATCCCATGTCACGACAAAATTGATGCCTGTACAGAACTATTAAGCAGGAATTGTTGATTCTGCCTTTTAGTTTACTACTATAATTAAAACTATGATGTTTTTGTTTATAATTGTACTTTGCCTAAAGTATCAGAGAAATAGGAGGTCAATTTTACATCGTGACATCAAAATGATTCATCATTTTATTGCCTTTGGGTCGTGTGGATTAGAAACTCAACATAATTTTTAATGTTTTTCCTTAGATATGAATGGGATGTACTCTTATTGTTCTGTATTTTGCCTTTCCGTGTCATTTATCAAGTTGAAAACTTTCATTATAAACCTACAATTAGTAATTTAATGTTTGATTTTAATCAATGTAGATGTTAAGGGAAACAATTTGATTCTGTCTGCCAAAAGCTCTCTTATTAAACATGCTCAGCAGATTCCTTCAGATATCAATCAGATTCAGCCTAACTCTGTTGTGAATGTAAGTGATGATGTCTATCGAATAATGATTATCTTTTGCTGTATAGCTTTAATAAAGCTGTTTTTGTTATGCTTAGTATGTTATAGGCAGTAGTAGCCTTTATATTTACACACACATCAGTGGAGTGTAGGAACACTGTTTCTGAATCTGTAACGTTCAACTTGGTAGCAGAGCGGTGAATTTATGTGGATTAAACATCTTCTTCAAGATGAAGTTATATTGTGATAAACAGACAACCGTTTCTAACCTAGTGTTTTATGAAAGAACTAAACTTATATTGAGAATGATCGTCACTTTATTTGAAAGAAGTTGTTATTGGTACAGATTAGTACTGAATTTATCAATTCCAGTAATCAACTTACAAATACTTTGACTGAATCATTAGAGGACCTCAAGTTCAGTTTATATGTTCCATGCTTGGTACATACAATTTATTTGCTCCAACTTGAGGGGAAGTCTTTGGTGATGATTATATTGTTTGGTTTTTGAAAGCTGTTTTATCATGCCTTGTCTGTGACAGGCTGTAGCCCTTGTTTATGATCAGTTGTATTCTCAACCTCGTTAAACATATATGAATTGCTTGTAGCACTTTTTTCAAAGTCACATTTTTTAATGTTACATATTTTAGTTTCTTTCATGTCATTGACTTAAATTGTGTATGGTGCAGGGCTATATATGTAACTTAATTGAGTCTGGCTGCTTTGTTCGTTTCCTTGGTCATTTAACTGGCTTTGCTCCAAGAAATAAGGTATCTCAGGCCTATCCTTTCTTTCACTTTTACACACCTCACTGTATCTTTGGCACATGATAATTGGGACCTCATTCTATTGGTTTTGTATAGGCTGCAGATGACCACAAAACCAATATTTTGGAAGCCTATTACATTGGGCAATCAGTTCGCAGCAACATATCCAATGTTAGTATATTGAAAGTTGTAAATTTGATTTTTAAGAAAGCTTAGTGCTGTCTAAAACAGTGTAATTTTTTTTAAACATCAGGTTAGTAGTGAAACTGGTAGAGTAACGCTATCTCTAAAGCAGACAGAATGTTCTTCAACTGATGCATCATTTATTCAGGACTATTTTCTCATGGATGAAAAGGTATGAACAATTGTCATTAAACCCTAAACCCATAAATTCCTTAATTGGGTGCACTTAAACCTTATAAATTCCTTCCCACCCCAACATTTTTGTAAGTTGGGTCGGGTCATGGGATTCAGTTGGTTTCTTATAGCGCATCCAATTAGAATTGGGTTCGGAACCAAGTTCATGGGTTTCAAAACCAATGAATACAGCTCAACTACATATAGATGCGTTTCTACTATACAAAACACAGTTTTATTCTGTTTTATGAGTACTGTTCTTAAACGTTACATATCATCCATGTTATTACAATTAAATTGTGTTTGCCTTCTTACTTAGAGACTTCATTACAAAGTTGTTAAACAAATTTATGGCGTTTATTTTATGATTGCTGTTTAGATTATGCAATATGTTGACAATTACTATTTATGTGTGTTAGGTACTGTTGCTAGATTGTAATTTTTTACTTTTACTATTATTTTTAATTACTCAATCCAACCAATGCTGTAATGGTTGGGTTGGGTTGCTAAATATAAAAGGTAATATGTAACCCAATTATGTTTAATTGGGTTGGCTTGAAAATTGAACTACCCTACGACAATATATGTATGTCCCTACATGTTAGATTTAATTCTACATGTTAGATTGTTTATCTTATGCTGTTTTCAGTGCTCAGTAAACATGTTAGGCCTTGTTGACTTACTTTTGGTCTGGATTGTTCTTTTGAAATTTAGTACATGTTTTTTTTCTTTTTTTTTAGTTTAGTAGATTTCTGTTGTACCTCCGTATGTTTTTGTATATTTAGGTGGTTATTTTATTTTGATTAGATAATAATATAGAGGTGTTCACTTTATTATGCAACTATATCAGGGATGAAGTTTTAGAGCACTTTTACAATTTTGCTTTCTTCTCGTGGCATTTTTTTAGGTGGTATATGTAGCTAGCCCTTATAAAAAACCATAGCTGCAAATTTTGATTTGCACCTCCTCTTTTGATTAAATTTTGGAAAATACAAAATACTAAAAATTTAACGGAAATGAGTTGACATTATTATTGATTCATGGATAGGTAAGTGGTCTGTACCACTTTGACTGGTCTGAAAATCACCCTTGAATTTTAGCAAATTCCTGATGAATTCATGAAAAAGGTTCAGGCTATGAATTGTTTTTGGACTTGTCATAGCAAACAGTGTAATGCTATATATTTCTTACCATATTCATTTCTTTGCGCGTCCTCTCCCTTTTCAATTGCTTCTAATCTTGTGTGGTTCTTTGAATTAGATTGCCAAGTTGCAGAATTTGGGCTCTGGTGCATCTGATTTGAAGTGGGTTGAAGGATTTAACATTGGTGTGGTTGCAAAAGGGAGAGTTAAGGATGTTACAGATGTTGGACTTGTTCTAAGCTTTGAAAAGTATAGTGACGTTTTTGGTTTTATTACCAATTATCAGTGTATGTTTTGGCCTTTCAACTTATAATTTAGTTTCTAACTAATATGTTTTGGTGATTCTGACTAAATTGCAAGTTCCACTTTTCACTGTATGATTACTTAGTGGCTGGAACTATTTTGGAGAGTGGCTCCGAAGTGGAAGCGTTGGTTGTTGATGTTGCTAAGGCAGAACGGCTTGTTGATTTAACTCTAAAACCAGAGTTCTTTAATAGTTCTAAAGAAAGTTCCGTAAGTCGTACTAACAAGAAGGTAAGCATCCCCTCACCCATTTCCTGTCTTCACGCACATATTCACATTTTTGTTCCACAGCGCAGAGAAAGACCTGATTGAATTTTTTGTTATAAGTTATACACTGTCATGCTACAGAAACATTTTTATATACTTCCTATTTGAAAAATGAAAATATCTAGTTACACTATTTCTTCTCTCCAATATGCATTCCCTTTTTAAATGAAAGGAGAAATAGTTTTGTCTTGAGAAGGTTCCATAATCAGCATTCAATTTTGTCTTGAGAAGGGCAACGATTTTCTTGATACGTTTTGCCAATATTATTTCTTTACTTTTACAAAATCAATGAAATAACTCAATTCCAGAAACGTAGAAGGGAGGCATCCAAGGAGTTGGTATTGCATCAGACTGTGAAGGCAGTTGTGGAAATTGTGAAAGAAAATTACATGGCAAGTATTGGTGTTATTATTCTTCACCATTGGCTATTTTCTGATAAAACTTGTTCATGCATATTAATGTATTTTACTGAATTAATTCTCTGCAAAGCAGGTTGTATCAATTCCAGAAAATGATTATGTGATAGGATATGCATCTATATCGGACTATAACACACAAAGGTTTCCTCATAAACAATACCAAAATGGGCAGAGGTGAGCACAGAATTTACTGATTAAAAATATCAATTCAGCTTTTCACTTTTTATGGTAAAGTCGGTACCAATGTCCTTAGAGCCATGCGCTGGGTTATGAATATTATGAGCCAGGCCAGTGCCACCTCTGTGATTTCTAGACTTAAATTGCTCTTTCAGTATGTTGTAGAGTTTTAGCCCTTCCTAAACAAGTTTCTGGTTGCATGTTCTTTTTCTGAGATACAAGGAAAGGCTCCTTTAAGCTCTGTTTGTTTGTCTTAGAATTTGGGTTTTTAGACCTATTTTAACTCTACAAAGCTGAGTTGTCTTGTAAAGTGAGAAATGTCTAAGCTTTATAACCTTCGTTTTGCCATAGTCCTAGTCAATGTGGTACTAAATCGCCATTCTCAAGGTTGTAATCAAAGTCACTCCAATGAGGTTACAAGTAAGCCTTGTTAGGATGACTGCTATGAAGGTGACTTATCTAACAGCTTGTCTTGCATATAAGTTTCCATCTTGTATTCTTTGCAAGGATTGATTTAGACCTTTTCTTTTTCTGCATAAAATATGGACATGGGTAAATCTTGTCCTTACTCTTGTATTCTTGGATTCCTGTGTTGAGCAATTACTACTAATACTTAATTTCTACTCCTTAATCATGTCTAATTCTATTTGTATTTGATTCAGTCCAAATATTTATGTGTAATAGATGTCTCATGAGCTCGTGTCATAAATATACTTGTACACTTTTTTACTTATTGTAAAATAAGTTCAATTTAAACATGAGAATTATTTTCCTAGTTTACCCATAACACATGGCATTACATGTTTTACTTGGTCAGTGTTATTGCAACTGTTATGGCACTTCCGAGCCCTGAAACATTGGGAAGGTTGCTTTTACTTCTAAGTGAGGTCAATGAGACCACCAGTTCTAAAAGATCTAAGAAGTCTAGCTATAAAGTGGGAACTCTGGTTGAGGCAGAGGTATGTGGATTTATCAGTTTGTTTTTAAAATTTAGGTATTTATTTGAAGGTTTTCTCTGCATTCTACAAGGAAGCTTATGCATGGACTGCCATAGGCTTCAATATTATGTTTTGTTTTGCTGATTTTTGAATGTGATTAACATTAGCTATTATTTCTTTTGTTACAAGTAAAAGTGTACCATGCTGGAGCTTGCTAACATTTTCCAACTCTTGTAGACTGACTATTTTCTACTATTTCTCCTTTACTCTTTTATTATATCTGAATACTACTACTTTTTGTTTTTCTGACAATCATGATTTTTCTTTTTTATGACATTGTTTTCTAGATTACTGATATAAAAATGCTTGAACTGAAAGTGAAGTTTGGATTTGGTCTACATGGAAGGATTCACATAACAGAGGTAACCATTTTTGCGTTTCTGGTGTAGATTTAAATTCAGCATTTTTAGTTGTATATATTGATACAGCTTGTAGCACTATCTGGGGCTCAGTTCATCAGATGTAAGCGCCCGTAGTTTTGCTTTTTTTGTAGCTGTAAATTGTGACCATGTTTAGATAGCAGTAACCTTAATATTGCAATGGTGAGACTTGCCCTATTGCTGATGTGCTATTTCATTTTTACTATTTTTCTCAATTGTTCAGTGCCTACCTGTGACAGGTACATAATGGTAATGATTAGAAAAATCCATTCTCTAGCTACAAAATCGGTCAGACAGTGACTGCAAGGATTGTTGCAAAACCTAATGAAACAGATGGCAACAGGAAGGGCTCACAGTGGGAGCTTTCTGTCAGACCTGAAATGGTTACAGGTTAGTGTACCACTCGCTAACAAAGATGTGAACGATAGAAATCCTGGGCAATTTGTGAAACATGTGCAGGAGAACCAGTTACCTTTAAAACCTATAATTTGTTTCACAAACTGTAGTCATGTTTGGACTGACCTCAGTGGAGCATGGGACTATATCCCAGCGTTCCATTATTATTGAGAAATAATTTTATTTTTACTTATTATCCTTATTTTATAACCTTATATGCTCATGCCATTAAATATTGATATTGTTATTGGTCACATTTTTATTGGAAGCAAGGACATATATATTTTCATCCCCACCCATAATTGAACTGTATTTTGGTTTCCATTTATACTTTTAATTCTATGTTGTCGGTATCTATCTATTTGTTAAATTTATTTTAACTGTTTGCCCTTTCATTGTTAAAATTATTGTAATCTTTCTGCTATTTATTCTCAACTTCAATTCAGGTTCCAGTGACATAGATGATGTATCTGGAAATCTTGAGTTTAGAATTGGGCAATGTGTGGCTGGTTATGTGAGCAAAGTAGAAAGTGAATGGGTCTGGTTAACAATATCGCGAAACGTGGGGGCTCAGATATATATTCTTGATAGTGCTACTGAACCCAGTGAGCTAGAGGATTTCCAGAATAGATACCTTGTTGGGCAACATGTTTCTGGTCACGTTCTAAGTTTCAACCCAGAGAAGAAGCTACTGCGGTTGGTTTTACACCCCTTCTCAACTCTTCCTTGTAGAACAAATGAAGAGCCACAAATTAATATTATGGACAAGGATTTAACAGAATATGTTCATGAAGGAGATATTTTGGCTGGAAGGGTTAGTAAAATACTTCCAGGTGTTGGTGGATTGCTTGTCCAAATTAGTCCTCGTACATATGGAAAAGTACATTTTACCGAAATTGCAGACACGTGGGTGGATGATCCACTGTCTGGATATCATGAAGGGCAGTTTGTCAAATGCGTAGTTCTTGAAATTACTCACACTGTAAAGGGTACCACTCATTTTGACTTGTCATTGCGATCTTCCAATGTGAAGCTTTCCCAGGATTCTGCAGATCTTGAGAGCGTTGTGTAAGTAATACTACTGATACTTTGTGATGAATTTTTATTAGTCTTAGACCAGACCGATTATTTCTATCGATCTAATATATGCAGTTGCCATTAACTTGAAGCTCACTGCTTAATTAAGTGGGGCTGAGTTATTTTACGCAGCCTTACCCTTGCTTATGCGAAGAGGCTTTTTTCCAATTTAAGTACTCAGGCAACCTATCACCACGACACATTTTTACTGTTATGTCAGGGCTTGAACCCATTACTCAGATGTAGTATTCAAAAATGGATTTTTTTTTGTGACTTATTTGAGTTGAAACATCTAATTAATGCATTTTCTAAGGATTACATTGATTGCGCTTTTTTTGGTGCGTATTCCATTAATTAATAAATTACTAAATCTTTCTAGATATGGACACATGTCAATTTTTAGTGCAATTTTTATTGCCAATTTTTTTTCTGCAATAGATTTGGTTTGTTTGGGTTTATGTGCATTTGTTTACTCCTGTTCAAAGCACAGGTTGGTGCCCAAGTAATTTCAAAACGTTATATAATTATTATAGTAATAATAATATAGTTGAATCTGTTAGACCTGATATTTTATACGGGTTATATTATCAATTGCTGATTTTTCAGGGATGCCAATGGCAAATGTATAGAGAAGATTGAGGATCTACACCTTGATATGATTGTAAAGGTATAGTGCATTTTCCTTTGTCTCTTTTCTTATAATTCTTATGTATGTAGGTTTCATGCTAGCTTATTTAACGTTGAGTTTTTGCTTACCATCTCATTTGCTGGAGATTAGTTGCCAATAAGTCAGCATTCATCATTTAAGAGGCAGGTTATGGTTTTGGAATCATTTGAAGTGATATCAATTTGTGCATTGTTTTTACTTAAGGGGTTTTGAAGGGTTGTAGGTACCTTTTAGAGATAAATGCCGCAACCTTGCTATTCTTTTAACTTTTTCCTCAAGCATTTTGCTCTTAAATTTTAGTTTTCTTTGTATTTTATTAGTAGGACTTCTGTGCACCTTTTTTTTCCTACCATTCCTCTTCTATATAATTCTCTTTAGAAAAATAAAGGTAAATACTTTTCTCTACTTCATTTGTAAAGGTAAATTCTTATTTTTTGTTTGCAGTATTGTATAGATGGGAATGAGTAAAGATTGTTTGTTTTAGGGATGTCTGTGGAGAAATAATTTTGAAATTAGTGAACCCCACTGTATTATATCTCACATATTTCCATTCATCTCTCTTAATTTCTTTGTATTTTTTAAATTTGTAGACTCACTATATTATATCACACATCAATTTTATTTTATTTTGTATTTTTCGTCAGGAGGACTTCTGGGAACATTTCTTTTGTTTTCTACGATTCCTCTTTTGTAATTCTCTTCAGAATAATGAATAAAACATTGTTATTTTCTCCCTTCATTTGTAATGGAAAAAATCTTATGCTTTGTTTGGTTTATGAAATGCAAATTAGTTGAGATTGTTTGTTTTAGGGTTTATGGTTTTTGCTCTCAAACTAGGCATGGATAAATTGGTCGAATATAATTTTTGTTATGTATATTTTCCTCAATATATTGTTTCCTTTTTGATTTATTTGTCTTGTTTTGGTTAGGGTTATATTAAGAATGTCACACCAAAGGGTTGCTTCATTATGCTCTCACGAAAGGTTGATGCCAAAATTCTTCTATCCAATTTATCGCATGAATATGTTAAAGAACCCGAGAAAGAATTTCCAGTGGGAAAACTTGTATCTGGCAGGTAAGTACTCAATCTATAGTCTGTTCACTGCTTAAAATGATGTATTTCTGAAGGAATGTACTGAGAACGAAAATTGCAAAAATTGCAGGGTTATATCTGTGGAGCCTCTTTCAAAACGTGTTGAAGTTACACTGAGGACATCCACAGTTACCAATACTTCCAAATCCGAGATTGTTGATTTTAGTAAATTTCATGTCGGAGATATTATATCTGGCAGGATTAAGCGGGTTGAGTCATTTGGTTTGTTCATAGTAATTGACAACACAAACATGGTATTTCTACAACATCGGCTGCCATTTCTAGTCCATGCTTTTAGTATTTTATAAGTGTATGCATAGTTTAGTGTTATTCATATTAATCTGATGTTATTATTCTTTTATTAACTTCGATGTCTCAAATTTGTACAGCTTCATCAAGAAAATTGTATTCTTCGTTGTGATTGTATTTAAAATTATGATCATAGTTCTGTGAGCTCACTTGATTATGCTTCTTCAATTACCTAGGTTGGATTATGCCATGTATCAGAAATTTCTGATAACCAGATTGAGAATATCGAAGCAAACTATAAAGCTGGAGAGAGAGTAAATGCAAGAATATTAAAGGTAATTTAAATATATAAAGATTTAGATATGCTACTGGATTCTATGTTCTTTCCAGGAGTTTATATGCCTGTTGGTTATAATGTAAACTGCAACTTCTAGCTGTTAACTGATTGTTTGCAATTTTCTGTGTATATTTTACAATCGGAAATGCTTTGCACGAGACCTGTTGTATCTGTAATATGTTTGTTCTTTCCACTCAGATAAAATATATTGACGATTCAGAAAGTTGCACCATAATAAGGGTAGACCTAACAGACAACCTAATATCCACATGGGAAAAAATTGGATCCAATGAAAATATGGACGGGTTGCTTGAATATGATTTATAATGAATAAAAATAGTTGTAAATTGGTAAGGCATAAACAGAGTTGATAAATAACTTATTCAAACTCTAATATATATCTTAATTATCTTTAAATTGAGTGAAGTATTGAATTCTTATTTGTCCTATGTCAGCTTAGCTTTCTTGTTTGATCAGTGTGTATTAAAGTACTAAATTACTGATTACTTGTTTTTTTGTAATTATCATTAGGTGGATGAGGAAAGACACAGAATTTCTTTGGGAATGAAAAATTCATATATGACGGATGGAACTTTACTTCAAATAGCATCCAAGGAAGGATCGGATGAACTTATTGAAGCAGATGGAAAGAAGTCTATAACTTCTATGCATAGTTCGCTGGAAACCTCAAATATAGGTTCTGACGATGAAATGAATCAATTCCCAATTCTTTCACGATCTCAAGATAGGGGAGACATTCCACCACTTGACGTTTCTCTCGATGACTTTGATCAAATTGATGTAAATAATGCTAATAGTCACAGTAAAGAGCATGGAAATGAAGAAGTCATTATACACGAAAAGAATAAAAGGCGTGAAAAGAGGAAAGCAAAGGAAGAAAGGTTGATACAATGCTTAGTTCGTTGGCATTTGCTTTTTATAGAATGCCATCTCATTTGTTTTTTCTTATTTGGTTTTTAATTTCTAACATGGGGGAAGTATATTGTACAGGGAGAAGCAAATAAGGGCAGCCGAGGAGAGATTACTGGAGGAGGATGTACCTAGAACAGCCGATGAGTTTGAAAAGCTGATTAGAAGCTCTCCCAATAGCAGTTTTATCTGGATAAATTACATGGATTTCATGATTTCTATGGCTGATGTGGAGAAAGCCCGCTCAATTGCTGAAAGGTATGTCTGAAGAACTATGATTTTTTGTTTAGATTTTTAAATGATTACGAAATTCAAACTTAAAACATTATTATTGAAGTTCATTTGGATTTTTCTAATCCTGAGCTTCTTTTGGGTATCGTAAACATAGTCCTATGCTAATGCAGATCAATGGCAAAAGTGGGTTTTAACAGTTCTCTTTTTGTTTATTCTTGCTTACTTTTAGGTCAATTTTTGGCTATTAGACATTGAACCTTCTTCTATCGAAGGAAGAGTGTTTTTATATACGCAAGTGATCTTATAAGCTAGCCTATTTTCACACATAATCACACCGTTTTCACTGTGTTCTGGTTTTAATATTCATATGGATTTGGTGATTTTGTTTACTATTTCATATGCAAAACTTTGAATGTAGTAAACAAGTGAAAAGAACATGTTTTTGTAAATAAATTATGAATACTCAAATTTTTAAACCGAACAGTTATATCAGCAACTGTTTTAACAGTTACGTAAACATTTAACTTTGAGGATGCTGCATAGAAAAAAAAAGACTAACTTATAAATCTTGTTATTTACATAGTGAAGTGCAAACATTCAGCACTTAATTAAATAGCTTCTTTTAAATATGAGAACTAAATGATGATTTCCACATGATGTCATTTGAAATAAAGCGACTTGAGACTAAATGCATCGATTGCGTACTAGTATTTTTATGCATCATAAAAGAGGGGAAATATCGTGATTCATATAGTGTGTTGTTTCCCGTGATGGTTTTGTTTAAAGTTTTTGTTTGCATACAGTGTATATCTCCCCTTCATCCTGGCAGAATACATCCATGTGAATATCATACTACCATAATCATCTGATTTCACATTGTTTTTTACTCGCATAATCCATAATTTTGAAGAGCTCTGATGACCATAAATGTCCGAGAAGAGAACGAGAAGCTTAACATTTGGAAGGCCTACTTTAATTTGGAAAATAAGTATGGCAACCCTAGAGAGGTGAGGAGAACGTGCAATTTCAGTTTTTGGCTGACTTCACGATGTTATGTGGAATCCTTAATAAGTGTTTCTGTACAGGAGGCCGTTATGAAAGTATTCCACAGAGCTCTACAATACAATGATCCCAAAAAGGTCTATCTAGCACTCTTGGGAATGTACGAGAGGACTGAACAGCATAATTTAGCCGATGAACTTCTCAATAAAATGGCAAAGAAGTTCAAGCATTCTTGCAAAGTAATTGTAACTTTTAAGTATAAAATACTACTCTTTTGGTCTAGACAAAAAAATGTATGTGGAACTTATTCTGCGTTGAATTATAGGTGTTGGTTGAGGCGTGTACAAGTCTTTGAAGCAAAACCAGGATGGAATCCAACCTCTCATCGATCGAGCTTTTCGTTATGCCTGCCCAAACATAAGCATATTAAATTTTTCTCTCAGACAGCGATCTTGAATTCAAATTGGGTGTTCCAGATCGAGGGCGATCTTGTTTGAAAAAATTCTTTCGGAATACCCAAAGAGAACAGACCTATGGAGTGTTTATCTCGATCAAGTATATTATTCTCTATCTCATTTTCTATTTGTATCAATATTTTATTAATCCTAACATCCCTGTGTATATTATTTTGACAGGAAATTCAACATAAAGACGAAGATATAATTCGTGCGCTGTTTGAAAGGGCTGTTAGTCTGAGTCTCCCACCTAAAAAGATGAAGGTGTTGTGTGAAAAGA